GCTGAAGGCCGTTCCCGAAGTCCTGCAACAGTAATTCTCCCACGACGATGTCGCTTGCGTCGGTGACCAGTTCGAACGGGCGGTATGGGTCGACAATGTGCAGTACGGGCGATGAGCACAAAAATTGTTTGAGGGTCAAGAAGGCAGCTTGCTCTTTCTTCCCCCATAGTTACTCAACCCCCTTCCTCAGTAGATCTGTCAGCCGGGCAGTCAAGCTTCGCCATGTCGGGGATGAACCGACACACGTAGTTGATGAACCCCAAAAAACTCTGCAGCTCTGTCAAATTTGTCGGCGCGTGCCATGCTTGAATCATCGCGATTTTTTTCGGGTTTATTTCCACTTTGTCGGGTGAAATAATGTGCCCTAAAAACTCTAGCCTGTCGTGTAGAAATGCACACTTCGACGCTTTTGTCAAAATGTGGTTCTCATTCAGTATCTTTAAAACTTCTTCGATGTCATGTAGGTGTTGTGCTCTATCTCGGTTGTATATCAGTATGTCATCTAAGTAGACGATCACGCGTTTATCTAAAAGCGGGCGAAAAGCTACTTTCATGGTCATTCAAAAGGTTGCAGGGGCATTGGTCAGTCCGCAAGGTAAAACTGTGTATTCGAAGGATCCGTATCGTGTTCAGAAAGTTGTTTTTTGGCAGTCGGGCAGATTGACGTGGATCCGATGGTAACCTCCTCACAGGCCAAGTTTCAAGAAAACCCGGGCTGTGCACAATTGGTCGATCAGTTCATCGACTCGCGGGATGGGGTAACGGGACTTGATGGTAACTCGGGTGAGTGCGCGATAATTTATACACATGCAAAATCCCCTGTCTTTCTTCGGCGTGAACAGTATCAGTGCAGCGAACAGTGATGAGCTCAGGCGAATGAACAATTTTTCGAGCAGGTAATCTAACGGTTTCCGTAATTTGTCCAGATCGGGTAGGGTTAGTCAGAACTGTCGCTGTACTGTCGGCTGTGCCCCCGGTTCTAGTTCTATCCTCCGATTCGTCGGCGAGCATTTTCTGTAAATCGTTGCCCTTGTCTGCTGCCTCGGCTTCCCCAATATCAACCACATACACGTCAGCTGTTAAACTTATGTTTATGATATAAACTGTTTGCTGCAGTTACTGTAGTGTTTGTGTTATTTCCTGTAGGTGGTGCACCTCCCTTCTTTCCTATATGTATCTTCTCTCCATATTGAATCCTCCTCTTTGGCCAATTCTCCATCTCGCTACTCTCCTTACCAAACCCTAGTCTCCTAAGTTAAACCTTATCTCAACATGGTATCAGAGCAGGCCTTTCCTAGGCCTCCTAGTTTTATTTTCTCGCCATGGGCCCACCCCTCGCCCTCGTACCAGCGCGCCCTGTTAGCACGCCGCGAGCTGGCTGCCCCGTCCCGCAACGCTCGCCCCGTCGCGCTCTGCCCGTGGCGAGTGTGCCAGCGAGCCGTGGCGAGCGCGCCAGCGACGGTCGCCAACGGCGTTCGCCAGCGCCAGCGAGGACGCCAGCGCCGACTGCGGGCGCCAGCGCCAGCGCCGACGGCGGGCGCCAGCGCCAACGCGACGCCAGCGCCCAGCGCCAGCACTTCTGCGCCAGCAAATGGGGGATGAGGGGGTGGCGAGAGGGATCCTGCAGCTTCAACTGCCACCCTCTCTCCCCTCTCTCTCACTACTTGCTGCCGCGGGGGGAGAGGGGGGGTGGTTGAGGGGGTGACAGGAGAGCATCTGCAGCTCCAGCCCCCTCTCTCTACCTCCTCCTCACCTTCTCTCCCGCAACTGCCTCTCCTCCAGTCCTCCCTCTTCTCCTTTTTTTCCAGCCGCTTCCTCCGTTTGTATGCTCCTCCAATCGTCTCGGCCGTTGTGGGGAGGAGGTTTGTGGGGGAGAGGTTGCAGGGGGGTTTGTCACCGTGAAACCTGCAGCTCCAGTCGCCAGTGTGCCCGTCGCTCCAGTCGCCCGTCGGGTCCGTTGCTCTAGCCGTACGAGCGGAATGCTCTAGGCGTACGAGCCAGTCACCCCAGTGCCCGCGAGCCAGTGCTCCAGTAGCCCGTGAGCTAGCAGCTTCAGCCGTCGACCACCTCCTCCTCTCCTCTCTCTCTTTCCTCATCCTCACTTGCCCCCTCCTTCCGCTGCGCCTTGGTGTACCCCTGCGGGTCCTTGCACTGGTTCCTGCAGCAAACTGTTTAGGGGGTGTGTTAATTTTATGTTTATGATATAAACTGTTTGCTGCAGTTACTGTAGTGTTTGTGTTATTTCCTGTAGGTGGTGCACCTCCCTTCTTTCCTATATGTATCTTCTCTCCATATTGAATCCTCCTCTTTGGCCAATTCTCCATCTCGCTACTCTCCTTACCAAACCCTAGTCTCCTAAGTTAAACCTTATCTCAACATCAGCTCCTGCCACTACAGCTCGTTTGATCGTGATCGCGTTGGCACGCACCGATAAAGATTCAGGCGAGCTCCTGCGAGGTAGGGTCACTCGCATGGTGCAGTCATCCGTCGTCTAGTCGAGTGAAATGTCTGTCTCGTCAAGGGTCGTTGCGAGCATTTCCTGGCTAAATGTGAAGCTACCCCCGCATCGAACCCGAACTCGGTCCACACGTTCCCGTATCGCCAATGGCGTGCCGTAGACCAGTCTTACGTCAACATAAGGTAAACACCTGTCCAGTAATAGTTTCTGTCTCTATGCTATGGAAGTGTTGATCAGGCTGTGGCTAGGCCTCCCGTCCACAAAGTTTTTTACTAAGTTTGTCTGCATTTTCCTACTAAGCCGTATGGGGCTGTCTACCGTGGTACCCTCCCGGGTGTGGTCAATTGTGTGAATTGGCACAATCACTCTTTGAGGGCCTGTTTGCTGCTTGGTCTGTTTCTGCTGCTCAGCTTCCCCCTTTCCCTTAGCGTTTTTTTTCTGGGCACTCGCTTTTCCAGTGTCCCGGCCGGTTGCACGCGAAGCAGTGCCTTTTGAACGATCCGGCAGCGACATTCGCGATGACAGCGCGTGTCGTGGGGTGCTCGTTCGTCCCACGAGGCCGATATCCCCACTTGCTGTTGTTGTCGTAGGACCCCGGTCACGGTCGGCGTAAGAAGTCGAGCTTCTCCGCCATAGCGAGAATATCATAAAATTTGGTGACGTTGTGGAGCTGGATTAATTAGGCGATTTCGTGCTCACGCCGCCAATGTAGCGGTCAATTCGCTCTCCCTCATGCATGTAGCCCACCTGCTCACAGAGCGCCAAGAACCCGTTGGTGTAGTCCCGGACAGATCCAAGCTGGCGCGAAGTGCAGAGCCTCTAAAGCGCCGCGATCGAGGCTGCGGTTGAATCAAATCTCACGCGTAGACCTGCGCATCATTCATCCCAAGTGCGATACTAGGGCACTTTTACGAAATACGACAGCGCCCAGGGTCCGGTTTCTCCTTCCCGTGTCGGTGGAGTCTCGAGGTCCACCGGCTTCGCGACGATGGCGCGCCAACAATCTATGACGGGCCATCGAAGCTGCGACACGGCGTACCGAGTATTCACCGAATTTTCCGAGAAGTAGTTTTCATTGAAGAAGACATTCATTCTGAATAACCACGCCTGAATGTAGGACCACCATGCTGGCTAGAATCGAAGCAAGGTGGACGCTGACTTGAGCGGCATCGGCGATGGCAGTGCTGACTCGACGGTCGGCACCGAAATCGTGACGCGAGGTTGGCTCCTGGCCGCATTCGTCGCTTTGGGGTGTGTCGCGCCGTGGTCGTCATCTTCATCATTGCGGGCGATGCCATCACTAGCGGCCCTCGAGGGTTGCCCCACGCTTCTGTGTTGCGAAGCCTGTCGTGCTACTTGACCTTGTGTGCCTTGTGCTTACGATTGTGCTTGTTGCGCCCATGCGACGTCATTTTGCAGCGACGTATGCTCTGCCGTCAGCGCTGCAATTTCCTCGGTCAGCGCTGCAATTTCCTCGGTATTTTTGTGTGGGCGCTCCTGCATGAGTGTCGAGGCGTCAATATTCTCACCCATATCGAAGGACGACGACTCGGCTTAGCTTTAGGCGCAACGCGTTTACGAGAGAACACGAGGACAGCGGCTCCTATATACTAAGGGCGTGAGTCCCTTCGAGTGCAAAAATCAAAAGTTGAATTTTCTGGGTGCGGAGATGCGCGGTCCCAAAGAAAGTAGATTTGAATACGAAGTGTTACGGTGGCAATGGAACGATGCACTAGGTGTCAAACGATTACAAAGTATGAGTGAAGGCTTGAGCGAATAAATATACGCGAAAATTGCAAACGGTAACACGGTGGGCGTGAGCTAGCTAGTGTTAGGCTGGCATCGAGGTTCGGGCTAGTCCCAAAGCGTAGGCCGACTCGGCCAGGCCAGCGGTGCATGGATTGGTAAAGCATTGCGCGCGAAGTTGGCGAATCCTCTTTAGCTGTAACGGGGGAACAACGGCTGCTGCTGTACGCCATGTTGATGGTCGTAGTATGGAATGTCGAGAAGATTCCTTACACACACCAGTAAAAGAATATAGATATGGTAATATCAAGCAGATATTTAGGTTTCCCACGTTGCAGTAACGAAAGGCGCGAACTTACGAAGCTGACCTGTTCGCGAATTTCGCTCACAGCAATTCCGCGTGAAGCGAATCGAGCTTTCGGTGAGTCGCCTGCCGAGCCAATCGCTTTTTCGCCGCACCTCACTCATCGTCGCCCACGCTCACCCATTTTGATCGCCGCAACTCAACCGTCAATCACCGCCTCACAAACTCCCTCCCAAACCTACACGCTCACCACCACGGCAACACCAGTTCAATCGCCTTTATCTGCGAGTATTTATAACTGAAGTCGAGAGGCAAGCTGCAGATTCAATCACAACCTAAGCCTACTCGACTAATCGTCACAGGGCTTCCTCGCACTTCGCAACCGTTTTTAATTGCTCAACACTGCCTTCTTTAGCCACCCGCGCGATATTCGCACCTCCTAGTTCCAGCAGCGATCCCTCTAGACTGCACCCGTTTCCTACTGTAGTCTCCATGGCGCGTTCTCCTCTAGCTTCCTCACTCGTGGCGGCACTCCTCGTAACCGCGCTGTTCGCATCATGCGCGCAGTCTAGACTCGTCTCCAACGGACTGCTCGGGAATTGCATTCCGAACAAACCAGCACAAGTCACCAGCACCATCACTAGTACCGTGTCCGACCTAAAATCCGCGCTACAAGCGCAAGTTTTTTTGCTAGAAGGGGCGCTTACACAATCGCTGGACAAGCTCGCTACCGCACTGAACGACAACGCATCCGCGGCGACATTGGCGCTTCAAGCGCAGATTTTCGCCCTTTAGAGCAGCATCGACACTCTAAACTCACGCATTGCGAACCTCGACCTGATCTTATACCTTAGAATCACGCGACCTGGCGGCGCTACTCCCCAGTCGACACCTGCCGCACTCCAATCGCGCGTCTCGTCGGTAACAGGCAGCATCCCCGCTATCACCAAACGCGCTACCTCCCTCAACACGGACCTGGCGGGCATCCTCCCCAACCTCCGCGCGTTGCTGAGTCAGCGAGTCGCGGCGCTCACTCAGAGGGTGGGCGCACTGAATGTGGACGTGTCGGCGCTCGCTGCGCAGGTGGACGCGCTGATCGCCCCGCTGAGTGACGCCCTTGGCGTGGCGGACCTCGTGGCTCTGCTGCCGCAGCCAGCAGGTCAGTCGCAAACTCTAACCTCACGATCCCGAACCCCTCAACCACAGAGCAATGCGTTGAACTTGGATGCTGATTGTTTGAACACCCAGCAGGTCAGCCCCGCAAACCCCAATCCCGCAAACCCTAAATCTCACAAACCCAAGGGCCCAGTGGCCTCAGTGGTAGCAGTCGCTACTTAATGCTTATGCTCACCTTTCTTGCACCACCCTCGCTCACTCAATCCAGTTCTTCTCTTGATGATCCCCATCACTGCAGGCATGCTCCGTGGCGTGCTCACCTCGTGCGAGGGCCTTCTCCCGGTGGGAGCAGCCAACATCCAGATCACCAACATGTAAGCCAACACCTTCCCCACCTCCCCCTTCCGTCCCCCCACCTCCCCCTTCCCCCCCTCCCTTTTTTTCCCCCACCTCCTCACTGGGGGGGCTCACTGTAGTTTCTCCCACATTAACACTATCTTGCTTCCCCCATCCATTGCCATCAGCTCTGACTCTCACAATGCTTCTGCCAAGCAGTAGGTAATACCCTCCAGTGAAGTACACCTAAACAGTGAATACCCCTCTATTGTGCAACCCCTCTCCTCCCTCTCCACACGGCAGGGGCTGGGCGTACGCGGTGGCGTACGAGCTGGTGGCGACGGGCATGGCGGAGGCACCGCAGGCGGCGGCCATCTACAGCGGCAACAGCACGTGCGGGCAGGCAGCCCCACCCGTGGCGCTGCAGCTGCCCGGCACGTGGCAGCTGCTGAGCTCCGTGTCGTGGTCGCTGGCCAATGTGCTCACTGTCGCGCCGGCGGACCTGGCGGACGTGCTCAGCGCCATCCAGGCTGGCATCAATGGCCAGCTCTACATTGGCTTCACCGGCACCAGCAGCAGCTTGTCGGGCAAGCTCATTGGTGACAGGTTCTGACGGAAAAGGGGAATAGGAGAAGGATGCATGGGGTGATGGTGTTGTGATCCGAGAAGGAACATCACAGATGCTCCACAAATGCCAGTAGCTCAGTTGGTGGCATTCCGTGCATTTGTGATGTTCCTTCTTATGGAATAGGACATGACGTGTACATATCAAATATTGAATGCATATTTCTAGAAACTGAAGTACCCGTATTACAATGCACCTGGTGCATCTTGTTTGTGCTATAGATGGCAGCTACTGTAATGCTACGGCCATCTCACTAGGGCCTCAGATTCGTTTGAGGGTACCCTGTGGACTCAGGGCCGTTTTTTCAGGATTCCTATTTTGTCCTGAAACGTCAGGACTGAACAAGGGTGGGTATGCTGTAGGGTCAGTGCTACAAGTGACATTATCCTGCCCCGTCAGTGCTACATTTCATTTTATCCTGTGCACTTTGTTAAAGGTGTGTCTGTCCTATGGTGGCGCGTGAACTTCTGTTGGTTGTGCCTGCATGCGGGTGTGGGTGGATGAAAACAGTGTATATAGGCTAGGAGGGAAGCGCGTGATGCCAGCGTACAGCAAAGATGGCCGTGCTTTCCCCTCGTGTAAAGTGAGCGCGGCGCGGTTCTGCGCCAGCAGAGGAAACCAAGTCAGGGCGACAATTACGGAGCGTAACTTACGCTGTATGTGGTCGGTGGTTGGGTACACTAGGCCCCGGGCGAAATTGGCGCAGTACTCGCTTCAGGACGACTCTCAACACTATACTGACTCATCAGGGCTGAACCTACAGCCCTATACTGAATTTACAGCACGCAAAAATACACTTATACTGAAATTACAGGATAACTATCGCGCTTATGCTGTTTTTCCAGGACTGGGACACGACATCTATCCTGAATTCAGGAGAATCAGGATAAATTATCCTGATATTTGAGGCCTTGCATCTCACGGATGAACAAAACACAACATGACGGAAATTGGCCGCTACATTGTGTGCGCTTGCTGGTGGCTCTACTGATGTTGCTTCTGTGGACGGCGGGCCCTTTAAAATTGCATCTTGCCATGTCACGTTTAGACGGCAGTGTCAGAAAGTCTAGGCAGGAATGAATCGACTAGAACAAGGTTGGGTACAAATTTGTAACCCAAAGGGGGCTATACCCCAGATTGGCTACGCCACTACAGCCTAGACATATATAGCATATAGATTACTTTGACACACCCCCACAGGCAAAGTGGGGGAGAGCAAGGGGTCACAAGACTAGTCAAGAGAGGCAAAGCAAGCTCAAGGTGGATCACAACGTCACCACACACTGAGCACAAGCAAAGGGCCACAAGGCCAGTTCACATGTAAAGGATATATGCAACAACAACAGCACAGTGATCACTACCTAGCAAGACGAAGCTGACCACGCTGCTGCAACTCTCGAGCAAGGAAGTAACGCAGAGCGATGCGCTTCGTTTGGTGCTCCAGTTTGTGCAATTGCGGCCTTGTTATCGACGTACAGCACTGGAGGAGAACGAGGCCGCTCTCCCAAGTTGGTCAGCAGGTAGGTGAGCCAGTGTAACTCCTGTGCAGCCATGGCTGTGGCGTAGATCTCAGCCTCGCAACTGGAGCTGAGAACAGAGGAAGAGCGTGTAGACCGCCAAGAAACAGAGCCAGAGCCAAGACTGAAGGTGTAACCCTATGACGACCGCTGCGTAGCCAGGTCATCAACCCAAGAAGCGTCTGAGTGCCCAGTGAGGACAACGTCGCCCCGTCCTCCAAGCACGAGCCCCATGCCCGATGTACTGTACAAGTAGCGCAGTACCCTCTTAGCAGCATCCATGTGCACCTTTCGATGCCTACCAGGAGCCACGTAGCGAGCCAGAAGGCCAAGAGGGTACGCAAGGTCAGGACGAGTGCAGGTCATCAGGTACATGAGGCAGCCCACTAGCTCTGGGTAAGGACCACTCGGCTCTACGGGCTCCTCCGAAGGTGGAGCTAAGAGCGAGTGACCTGTAGCCAGAGGAGTGGACTGTGGGGAGGACCAGGTGAAGCCGAAGCGCTGAAGGACCTGCTGCACCATGTGTGACTGAGTCAGTGTGATGGTGCGGCGTGCTCTGTCCTGGGTGATCTGCAAGCCAAGGTAACTGCGCAGCTCACCCAGGTCTGTGCACGTGTGTCTCTTCTGCAGCTCCGAATTCACCAAGGCGAGAGCCTCAGTGTCAGCAGTGGCAAAGACCAAGTCGTCGACGTACACGAGGATGTAGAACGGCGGCAACGAAGTGTCGGTGCGCAGAAACAGCGATGGGTCAGCAGTCAAAGGAGAGAACCCAAGAGCCACAAGTGTTGTCCTCAGTGTGTCGTGCCACTCACGCGGCGCCTGGCGGAGACCGTAGACTGGCCGGCGGAGGCTCCACTGGGTACCAGAAGGGAACGACCCAGTGAAGCCAGGTGGGCGGTGCAGCCAGATCTCCTCGTGCAGACTGCCCTGTAAGAAGGCTGTGCTAAATTCCAGATATTGAAGCTCCTAGTCACGCTGAGCGGCAACGTGCAGCAGCACCCGAAGAGTGGTCATCTTCGGGGTGGGAGAGAAGGTATGAAAGTAGTCAACTCCCTCTCGCTAATTGAAGCCTTGAGCAACGTAACGAGCCTTGAAGACAGGCGGAGAACCCGGCGGCCGCTTCACCCTGAAAATCCACATGCCATCGACAATGTTCGCCCCAGGAGGGGGAACCTCATCGACGTAAGTGCCAGTGGACTTCCAGGATGCCATCTCTGCGTCCATGGCTGTCTGCCACTGAGAGGAGTAGGGACCCGAAATCGCCTCTGCGTAAGAGCGCGGGGTCGGGATGTCTGGTGCATCCGGGTCTCCCTCAGGGGCAAGCAGCATGGCCACGAGATGAGGCGCAGCGGCTGCAAGACACTCAAGGTCCTCCTGCCTGTCCTCAAGGACGTTCGTGCCAAGAGCACACTCACCCCCGACAGACGGAGGACAGACAGACTCAGACTTAGCAACAAGACTAGCGGCGTAGTCTAGACGACAGACAGCAGCAAAGTCAACAAGCTCAGCGACTAAGGCAGACGCAACAGCAGACTCAAACGACGGGTCAATGACAACAGTGGCTAACAGACACGTGACAGTAGGGTGTGCAGCACGAAACTGGTCAGACTCAGGGTCCGGAACGTTAGGCAGAGAAGACGCTGGAGGAGACGGCAGAGGAACACGCTGCGGAGCAGAGGAAGGACGCATGGCCATGAGGTGCGTGCCAGGGACAGCCGGCGGACGCGGACAAGGAACACGACCACCAATACGACCAGCGCAGACAGTGCGAACAGGCGAGACAGGACGCGACGTAGGCTCACGACGCTCAGCAAGACCTCCTGGCTGCTCAGTGTAAGGAGAAGGAGCAGGCAGCGGTGACCCAGGCTGTAACGGAAGACCAGTAGAAGACGGGAGGCTAAGAACCTGGTGAAGCACAGAGTCAGGCGGTGGCTGAGACGACGGAGACGGCGGAGCGAAGAACAGTCGTGGCTGTGCAGTGCCACCTGCACCAGCAGCTCCAGCACCTCCAGTAGCTCCAGCACCTCCAGCAGCTCCAGAACCTCCAGCTCCAGCTCCTCGAGCGCCAGCACCACCAGCAGCTCCAGAACCTCCAGCGCCAGCACCTCCAGTACCAGCGTCACCAGCAGCTCCAGAACCTCCAGCGCCAGCACCTCCAGTACCAGCGTCACCAGCAGCTCCAGAACCTCCAGCGCCAGCACCTCCAGTACCAGCGTCACCAGCAGCTCCAGAACCTCCAGCGCCAGGGCCTCCAGCGTCTGCACCTCCAGTAGCTCCAGAACCTCGAGCGCTAGTTCCTCCCGTACCAGCGCCACCAGCAGCAGCACCCCCAGAACTGGCACCTCCAGCCCCAGGGTCTCCAGCCTCAGTGTCTCCAGCAGCAACACCCCCAGAACCGGAGTCTCCAGCCTCAGTGTCAGCAGCAGCAGCACCCCTAGCAGCGCACGACGGGCACGGGCAGGGCAGCGCACGCGCAGGCAGGGGCGCGCGCGCACGGGCAAGGGCAGCGCGCGCGTGGGCAGGGGCAGCGCGCGTGTGGGCAGGGGCCGCGCGCGCACGGGCAGGGGCAGCGCGCGGGCGGTTAGGGTTAGCGTGCAATGGGCAGGGGCTATGTACGGGCAGCGAAAAGTGGCGTGCTGGCCAGTAGGGGCCGCGCGCGAGCAGGCGAAGGCTGTGCGCGGGCGGCAAGGGCGGCGCGTGGGCCTTACGGGCTTGCAGGGGTGGTGCGCGGGCCTTACGGGGCTGCGCGAGCGGCGGAAGCGGCGCGCGGGGCAGCAGCGGGCCGCACGAGGGCGGTGAAGGCAGCGCGCGGGGCAGCCGCGGGCTGCGCGAGCGGCGGAGGCGACGCTCGGGGCAGCAGCGGGCTGCGCGCGGTAGCCTGGGTGGCGCGCGGGGCATCAGCAGGTGGTGCGCGCGGGACTAGGGCAGCGCGCGTGGGCAGCGCATCACAGGCAAGGCAGGGCGTGCGCGGGCGGCGCAGCGAAGGCAAGGCAGGCGCGCGGGCGGCTTAGCGCAGGCAAGGCAAGGCGCGCGCGGGCAGCGCAGCGCAGGCAAGGCAGGGCGCGCGCGGGCGGCGCAGCGCAGGCAAGGTAGGGCGTGCGCGGGCGGCGCAGCGCAGGCAAGTCGTGGGGCAGCTCAGTAACCGCAATGGTAGGTGGGCCCGAAAAAAAAAAACACGGTCCTACGGACCTCCTGCTCTGAAACCATGTCAGAATGTATAGGCATGAATGAATCGACTAGAACAAGGTTGGGTACACATATGTAATCCTAAGGGGGCTATACCCCATATTGGCTACCCCACTATAGCCTACACATATATAGCATATATATAATTTGACAGGCAGTGCCAGAAAACATTCATACTAGAAACTATACTCAGCCATCATGACTTGTCTCGATCAGCTCACATTCACCCTCCAAACGCAAGGGCAGCAAAGGCATATACAAAAGCGCAACCACATGAGCCAGTCA